GTCATCTTCGACTGAGGTACGACGACACATGTCTAATAGCTGACGTTTACCGTCCCCAACTTCTACTCCAGAAATTTATTCTAGCTTGCTACGTGTCTTGAACATGGTAGTACGCCCTAAGTGCTACATTCTCATGGTCGGTGATCAAAGTACACGATGGTTATCGGCACGTCTCGTGCAAACTTCAAACTTGGACTGTGAAACATTTTGCCTGGAGAGCTCAGTTCTTTGAACTGGTCTTGGATTGGGACAACTTAATAGATTAATCTGCAACGCGAGTTCAGAGATCTTCCCTCCCAATATTGCGATCAGTCCCTTTTGCTCCAGTTACGTAGCGGCTAGTGTTTCACACTTCATCATAAGCATTTGAACAATCCTATGGTACGAGCTGAACATGCGTCACAGAACCACAACATATCTGTCTGTAGGCTGCTATTTCCGTTACATTATGCTCACATTTGTTGTGTCCTAAGAATTGGCACAGAATGAGTACGTGACTCGAGATCATCTTGTCTGCGCTACGACTGAACTTTGGTTTGTTGTTAACTGGTGTGCAAGCGGACAAACTTCTCCGAACCATTGTTAGGTGGCTTGTATGCACTTTTAGGTCACGTTGGTCACACCATTTGGGCTGCCTCAAATGCAGCCTGATCAGCTGGAGCTGTTCTACTGTCGGCGGGTTTAGTAGTTGTGCGCCCTCGGCACAAGGGTGGACACAAATCACACAGGCTGTGTGCCGTAAAATGCACGTAAAAATACTGGTAAATGTGAAACAACACAATAGGATGTAGCTACGGTGAACAGTGGTGCACAGTACGAGGTTATATCTTGTCTGGCAGAATTAGAGAAGCTCTATCGGACGGTATCTCAAAGGCATTGAAGAAACTGAAACATACAAGCTTTCAAGTGTTTCTCCTACCGAAAAACTGACGAAGACATCGTGTGTGGTGTACAAGCGTGCTTTTAGACTTACTTTGAAAAGTTAGATCCCGTTGGATAGGGCTCGGTGAGCGGAATTGATTGAGAGTACGTCAGAAGAGGTAATACAAGAAGGTGAGGGAATATGTCTAATTTAACTCAGAGCACTGGATTACACGATTGGCACGCACACGCTGACAAAGTCACTACCTTGACACAGACATTATCCGATGGCATTGGAAATTAGTTTAGGGAAACAATCATTTTCAGAAAGTATTGGATAATGGAAATGGTTTTGATTTTTCGTAAAATCGTCACAGGCATACACATGTAAGTTACATCAAGGAACGGATCACATGCGCACTATTGATGACATCCTCTCAAACGTAAAACGGCCGTCTCTTGCTCTTATAGTTAGCTGCCTAACCATGAATATGTGCTTGCGTGTGGAAAATGCTGGGTACCACTTTCAGTTTAATGGAGGGAAATTTGCACAAATAATCCGCGGGGAAGCTACACTAGAGATATGATAAAATGGTGCATCAACTTATATCAGATCTACACGTGATAAAAGCCAGTTATTGCATGTTAGTGGAAACCAATACTTGTCTATTTATTACAAAATCTTGTCAAGCGAAGGAATGACGTAAGTAAAAGTAAATATATAAAATTATCGAATTCGCAACAATTAGTAACGGTGCTATTTGATCATTTGGATTGACGGACTTAAGCCAAACACGTGTTAAATACCTCGACTTGCATTATATATATATATATATAATCGAGTGAGAAGCTGCATTTATAATTAGCACAATTCATATCTGTAAGGGCGGTGTTCTTCTTATGTTTTGGATCTACACAGTCATTCCATTATCATTACCAGCGTGTTTTTGACGAGTTAGTTAGCTTACCAGTCTAGTTACTTTAACTGGAAGCTTCTGTTGGACTTCGCGTATTTTGTAAGAAATGAGGGTTGTTAGGTGTTGTGGCTTTCATCTAATTTTGCTATTTGATGTCATCTGGTCCTCCTAGCTTAACAAGCCATGCAACCACGAGGGCAGGGTCGAAGAATCTCCCGAGCATATTACACAAAGCGTTGCGTCCTTATACCACCTGATAGGGATTGGAACTTATTCCACAGGGAAAAACTTTCCGTTGTATTAATGATGAATATAAGAAATCTCTTTATAGAAATAGTTAGTAAATTCAATAAGAGAAATGGGTACGCCGAGTGGTTTATGGAGACAACACTAAAGTATAAACCAAAGCAAAGTAAAAATAACAAGGGTAGAACGGAGATAGATGATAACGTGAAGTAGCGAACACTGCGCTTAGAACATATAAGCTGCCTCGCGCATATGTTATCGCAATTATATTTGACGGAAAGTTTTGCAACAAAACTTACAAGCTGCACCGGAATGCCCATTGATATGAACTGCGACACGCTTGTCCACTACTGCTCAAAGGTAAAGTTTTATTATTATTTTTTATTTCCTACTTTCAAACTGCTTGTAATCAGTTGCTATGGGTTATATAAAGCAAGCCCTCGGTGAGCAGGTAGCGCATTTGCTGCCACAACTAATCTGGGATTTATTACCTTCTATCTTCAGTATACAGAATTCGGTCATTAGTCTTTAAAAATTCGAAAATCGCCACGGCTTTATCGAAATTACAACATTGGCTGATGCAGTTTTCTCCGTTGCATTTGAACCTACCTTTCTTTGCAACCTACAGCCTACTCCAGTATATCTTTGAATCTTTTTCGTTCGATTTATGAAACTAGACTTAACAAAGCAATTATCCAAATTTAACTTACAGCGTTGGTAACTATAAGATTCACATTGAGCTGTTGATAGAATCTCTGTCTACTCGCAAGCTGTATCATAATCAGACTACTTTCCGTCTTAGTTTCTGTAATTCCATCAGATCCTCATTGTAGAAAGTCACAATTACCGGAAAGTTGTCAAGTATCATCTGCAGAAATTGATCAATTAACTGGTTTCTTGGGGCAATAAATTAAACATACGCTTTAACAAAACCTTAGGCAAACTCATTCTACATTATCTTGTTCATACTCACTGAAGATGACCGGTCGATTAGAAAGATTTTCCTACTTGCTGACACCATATTCTAACTAAGTGGGGGTGTACGCGAGTTCAGTTTGGCTTATCTAAAGCAACCACTAACCGCCTCTCAACAATTGTAACACAAAAAGTGCCATGTATGCGGTCACTAATTTAATGTAGCCTTCCAGATTTTATCGCGGATACACCGATCGCACCGACCGCATTTATTTCATGTTCCAATGGGCCCCATTTGCCACTGACACAAAGATGGTAGAACCCAGTAACCAAACATTGCGTTTCTCTACAAAGCAATGTAGCACAATTTGCTTTCTTTTAATCCATTTAATTGCATCATTACTTTTGACAACGTGAATAGCGCTTTCTACTTCATCGATTTTGCAAAGGAATCAAAGGGGCTTAGACTCACATCTCACACTTCCACAGACTTTTCTTCATTGAAGTGGATAACAACCTGTGGTGCACCATGCTATCAGCGTGCAAAAGTGAACAAAATAATTTGCTCATTGAAAGTCAACTAAATGGCATCGTTCACTTGGTCCACTACTAATCTATTGGAACATTTACTGTGAATCTAGTTATCACCGTTCAAGCGATCATGTTTGCGTTGAAGTGTCCACAAAACTACTTTCTTAAAATAGTAACCCCGGGTCAAATCCGTAAAACATTTACGGGATACACACGTAAAAGTTACGCTCTCATCATTTGAGGCAAATCAGGCGAAGGACATGCTTTTAAAATACAGCAGCACAAAGCACGCAATACGCTGCTATTCCAGAGATGTCCTTGACACAGAACTCAGTCACTCAGGGGCAAACACTTTACTCAATAGAGAATCTCAGTGATGTTTACGATATCTCACTCATAGAATCATCGATGTGTATAACTAGGCCGACCAACGAGCTTCTTACTTTGCCTCGGTCTAACGAACTCACTACAGGCCAGCCAAATCTCAACAAATTAACATGCAGACGTAGATGTGTTGCCATCAAAATATCTGCCATGTTCATTTGTAGCAATCTGGAGAATTGCTTCGTCAAGTAAATCCTCCTTATCTCTCCTTATGCACCTATCACAATTCCACCCTTAGAACTTCGAGACGCGTTATTTACAAAGGTAATATGTTCAAGTATAAACCTGAATTCGCAACATGTGTCATCGCTTGGCGACCCGACTTACCAAGTACTGGAAAAGTGGTTACACAATATTGGAATGTTTGTTGTCCTCCTTACTAACGACGGCACTTGATGGTTGCAATTTTATCACTTGAGCTGTTTAAGCAAACATATTTTCATGAACGTTTATGATACAGATTTCCGATGCAGATTTCTTAACCCCCATTGTGTCTGCCTGCAACAATGGTCAAAAGTGTTGCAATCACATGGACGACATCTGTACGACCTTAAGTTAACAATTTTGCCACATTCCAAACTAAGTATTTGCATTACTGTAAGGCTTGTAACAGCTTAAATCTTATAGTCCCCTGAAAGAAACTATTTTGCACATGGTCACACTGGTATCGCTGGCTCCACAGTAACAAAAGATAAACAATTCATTTAAAATTAATACGGAAATTATAACTTTTGCTCTGGATCATTTATCTGTGTTCATTCAGCAGCTAGGTTTCTTACATGGCAGTATGGGTGAAGCCTTAGGTACATGAAATTTTAAATGACGCAAAGTTTTCAAATAGTATGTAACCCCTAAATGTTTTGTCAAACGCTATGCAATAATGTTGAAATCAATGGGCCAAGGCGGCAACCTAACAAGCAAACTTAAAAGCTGTTTACTTGAAACTGTCTCCTCACGGGCATTATGTTAGAAAACGCCACACGGGCTACCTGGAAACAGATTTTCAAGCTTTCATTGCGATTCTAATGAGGAAGCGTATGAAAAATAATTAAGTGGCATACCGTTTTTTAAGAATCAAACTCCTTGGTGAACATAAAACAGGAGTTGGCAGTTCATTTATACAGCTGCATTTTCGTCCATTCCTAGGCAATATTTTGGATGCTCTCGCGGCCTTTGCAAATCACTTCTTGGCAAGGAGCACAGACGACAATGTACACGGTGCTGACCAGACATTTGGTGCCCGGTGGGTACTATTCAAATTGTGCGCTCAAAACACCAGCAGCTGCAGCGCTAAACGACGACGACTGCAAATGGCTCTGGATTAAGTCATGTGCACTCGTGGAAATTTCGAGCAACGATTAGAGAGCTTTCCAACGAGTGACCATTGAGATGACATTTTTATAAATTTCCCTGGATATTCTGGCTATCAAAAATTGCACTGAGTGCCTTGCACTTTCGATTGTTAATTCATTTCACACTCCCTCCATTAAAAATAATGCGATAACACTGATAAATCATTGTGCAACACTCCAGCAAACCGGTTTATGGATTTTTTGTATAAACGTGTGCACGGACTTGAATCATACCTAATAGGTAAATTGGCTGTTCTACAAAACATATAGTACAAGTTACGGCTAGCCTATTAGAACTTAACTGATGCGTCATGTTCCCAGTTCAACTATGGATGATTAGGTAGTCAACTGATTACGAACTTACCAAGATTGAGTTTGTACTTGTTTCAGTCTGTGGCGCACAATTTAACAGAATTCCTTTAAGTGTAATACATTTTATTGATAAAATATCCCAGTCGTAGACATCAGCAAAAGTGAGCGAACAACCTATGCTTTCAGTGGTTCCACATCCAGCTACTACATCACGAAAAAATATTGAAATGTGAACAACGGTTAAGGGTTCATGTTCGGAAGCCTAGCTATACACTAAGTGCCCAAGCTAGATGACTGGTCCAACAGCGATCAGGAGGGTGTGTGATGTTAATCACACCATGTGTCCGCACTAAAGGACGAATTATTTTATGTGCGCATAGGTCAGTGTCATGAAGTCTGATGTCAATCGCTTCGGCCGTTGGCAGTAGGCAATATCTGACCGCTCTTTGATGGGGTCTGGGTACGCGGTAGATGGGATGGAATGCTTCATGTGCAACGATTTGGTGGTTTGAATCAACCAAATGTTCAGACCCGGCGCTTGTCGTTGTTCTGGTCAATCCGTGGATTACATCATCATCATAACCATACTACACGTTAGCCAGAAATGGGGAATACCTCAACTATTGTGCCGCAATACAGAGAAAAAAAGGAGAGAAAAAAACGACTGGTGCAAGCTGGCTGACCTACCGGTAACGGATGGGCATCGTTCCGGTAAGCTACCAGCCGGCTGCTGTGCACCAAAAAAAAGTTACAATGCAAAATTATATAAGGCTAACTAATGAGATCGTGGTTGGAGGGGGAGGCTAAGAGGGATGGGGTGGGACAAAGAAACTCACAGCACGAACGCCACTGAGGTCGGCTCCTTGCCATATCAGCAAGTGTGTCCAACCAAATATGTTAATCGTGTTTCGGACCCCAACCAGGGAGCCGAGACGCTCCAACCGAGGCTAGCTCAGAAGTGAGGGCCTTAATTCCTCTCGACCAAGTCAACGCTTGGCCACCCCTCCTCTTTTTCCATCCACACTCCCGGCGCGCAAACAACACACGTCGCGGAAGTCGGTGGGCTGGGATGCGTAACACGTGGCCAAGCCATCGGAACCTGATGCGTGAAATAACGGTGCTGAGCGGTTCAGTTCCTTTTCCTGTGCCTTAAACGAGGCGTCGAACACGCTCGTTACTCACGCGGTGTTCCCATCAGATATGAGGTAAATTACGAAGGCACCGGTGGTCGAACTTAACTAGCCTCTTCAGGTCCGCTGCTTCAAGGTACCAAGTTTCACAACCGTACAGTAGGCTCGAAGGTACCGCTGCATTGTACACTCTACCCTTCAGGGCAAGAGTGATGTCGCGCCGGCGCCATAAGTGGCGAAGATTAGCAAAAGCGCCCCGAACTTTTGATATACGGTTATGGTCTCATCTTCCATCTCATGGGAGCTGATACAACTTCCCAAGTAGTTGAATTTTTGAACGACTTCTAGCTGATCCCCAACAACGGTCTTCGTAGGAGGCGGTCCAGACCAATCTTAGAGGAACGCTTTGCACTTCGAGGGTGCGAAGCAAAGCCTGAAGTAACGGACAGCTAGTACTAATCTGTCCAGTGTCGCTTAGCACGTCTGGGAGCTGTCACAGAGTAGGGCATTATCATCAGCCTACTCTAAATCAAGAAGTCGTTCTCCTGGGAGCAGATCCACACATTTCAAGTCGTGTCATGACTTCGTCAACAACGAAGTTGAAGAGGAAAGGTGACGGCGGGCATCATTGTCTCACACCGCTGGAGATATTAAAGGGCGACGACAGCTTGCCGTTAGCCCTCACTCTGCCCGAGCTACGCGCATATAATGCTCGGATAATATTTACATATTTCTCAGGTACACCTTTCCTGAATAGACAGTCCCAAAGTGCATGTCTACCCACCGAGTAGAATGCACCTTTGAAATCGAGGAACACGACAACGGTGAGCCGCCAATATATGTGGCAGTGCTCCAACAACTGACGCAAGGTGAAGATGTGATCAATGCAGCCACGACCTCGACGAAATCCAGCTTGCTCTTCACGAATCTGACTTTCACGAGTGCCAGTCAGTCGGCGAAAGATGAAAGAGGCAAGCAATTTGGAGGCGATGGAGATCAGACTGATTCCTCTATGGCTGCCGCATTCCGATCATGAGCCTCATTTGAAAATTGGGAATATGACGGAGCGGCTCCAATCGGTTGGGACAGTTTCATGCTCACACAGTTTGACTAGTAGCTCTTATAAATCATCCACAAGAGCAGGTCCCCCGAATTTGAAGAGGGCTGAAGGTAGGTCATCAGGTCCCGCGGCTTTGTTTAACTTCAAAGTTTGATTTCACGTTCGAGTTCTGAGCGAGTGGGTGGATCCAAATGGACAGCCCACAGAGCAGGGCGATCAGTGGCCGACGAGAAATCTAACCATTCGGACAGATTAAATTGCCTTTTAAAGTGCTCAGCCCAACGCTGTAAAGCGTTTTGACAAGTTGTGGATAGGTTGTCCACTCCCGTCACGTATAGTTTCATTAACACCAGGTCTCTTGCTGCCCGTTTCCCGTATCAGACGGAATAACTCACGATGGTTACCAAGGGCAGCGGCCATCTCCATCTCTGTTTCACGATGAGACCACCACGATTCGCGGTCTCTCTTCAGGCTAGCACGAAGTTTTGCCCGGAGCACTTTGCAAATTTCATTGTGTTCGCTTCCAGCCGGAATATTCCGGCGAGAATCTATAAGTTCCAGAGACTGTAAAGAGACCCATTGTCCATGTTGGCGATTAGACATCCCACTTTAGGATTTTCCTGCTGCTAGTAAAGCCTGGTGAATATGAGACCAGTGAGCTTCAGTTGCATCCAGTAAGCGTTTACCCAACTAGCATAACAGCGTACTTTGATACGCATTCAGAACATCTGGCTTCGCCAGTTGGCCGGTGTCAATGCGCTCACAAAATCGTCGTAAGTGTCCGCCAAATCGCATCCGCATGTCAGCACATACAAGTGCATGGTCAGTGTCCACACCTCTGCTCCAAATCCAGCGACAGTTCTGGACGCAGGCTCTCCATCGGTAACTTATTTCAATGTGATCGATTTGCGTCCATAGCTGGTTCGAGGCTGGTGGGCGCAAAGTCACCCTCCGGCGGGTGCTGTGTCGGAAATTAGTGCTCACAAGAAATAAGCGAGCATCCTCACACAAATGAAGTAACCGCTTACCGTTATCATTACGAGAGCCTATACCATGTTGGCCGCCCAGATGCAGCTCATCTGTGGATAATTGTCCAACTTGAGCGTTCAGATCCCCAGCCAGCACTACAGTGTCCGAGCTTCTTCTATGGCTAAGGTGCTCGTTCAGTTGACGATAGAAGTCGTCTTTTACCGAGTCATCACTACAGTTTGTCGGTGCATAAGCAGCGATAACGAATAGACACCCGTTAGTCCCACGCGACTTCGAAGTTTTGAACGAGCCAGCCAATCGGACTGCACACATCCGGCTACTGATTGGAATCCAATCAACCAGAGCAGTTTCAGCCCGGGGGCTCAGGGCAATGCCAACACCGGCTTGGCCGGTGCTCGGAAATGCATCGTCACCGGATAGGCGCAATGAGAAAGTGCTGCTTGCGTCACCTGAAAGGGATCGCAGAGTGAGTACAGAGCTCGAGTCTTGCAGGCGGGTCACCGCTAAGCAGCAGATACCGATTGAGAGGGTCTCCAATGTTCGGGCAAGTGCTGCCTGTTGACCCATCTGAAGCAATGTGCAAACATTGAGGCATGCCAATCTGAAGGAGGATCGAGGGCTCCAAATGGAAGCCGGTGAACTGGATGGACCGCTTGCTTGGACATGGGCCTGTTGACAGGACAGGGATGACGCCCCGCGTTCATCTGTGAGTTGAAACCAAAGACAAGCGACTATAGAAGCAAGGTGTGTGAGGGCCGAGAATTGAGGGGTTGAAAACAGGGGGGATATAAGTAAGGTTGGAACGGGACGATAAGGGTGAAAAAGCGCGAGAAGGGGAATAAGAAGAGGGGAAGGCTTGAGCAGTAGCATCCAAACCCCCTACCCAACCTGCCCGATGCAGAAGATAGGGCACCGTTGATTATCCTCTGCCGTGGCCAGAGCATCAAGAAATTGTTTGAGGAGAGATTCATCCTTTTGCGTGGGCAGGATATTGTCAGGTTGCCCAGGCCTAGACAGGAGAACGATTAGGGTTCTCAACCAAAGCCTTTGGTTCAAAAACCTGACCGCTAGGCAACGGGTTTGGCGTTGGGCTACAAGGAGTCCTTTGTAAGGAATAAGGTGCCACCCTCATTCCAACCCCCAACCTGGAGGACCAGGAGGCTGGGTTTGTCTGGCCTCTAACCATTGACCAATTTGGTATGATTGGCTCTGAAAGTGCAAAAGCACCACCCAGCATAGCTCAACGGATCACTGATGCACAAAAACCATCCCACCACGGTAAGGTCCAGCCTCATTGCGATGGATTACATAGAAAGAATGATATTAACAGCGATGAAACTGATACACTGGCTTTTACGTTTTGGTTGCTAGTTCAAATTAGGCAATGACTTTGCGGTCCTGTCAGTGAAAACTTCCAAGCAAGTCAGTGAAATTGAAAGCATAACTTGCCAACGCTGAATAGCTAGTTAGCTGCATTGGCGGTAGTTATTCAATGGACAAATACGGATTGTAGCATAC